GATGGAGGCTTTATCTAGCTGCGACGTGATGGCCGAAGGCAGCGGCAAGAGTTTCGCCAGTTCATAGAATTCACTATTTTCCTTTTCCCGTCTCGTTCGGGCGGCGTTCTTCGATTTTTCTTTCATCGTTTTCTCCTTTTTGTTTTGTTAATAATTCCGTACGCTTCAATTAATACATCCACCATCAAAAGCAGGTTTCGCGTACATTTCTGATTTTAGCTCATTTTCGCAGAATACTTTGCGTCTATCATGCCTTCAGACACTTGCATGAAAAAATGCATATAGTTCTGTTTTTCACACGTTTTCACTGCATGTCTATGTAAAGCGTGATCTGATTCATCCCTCTAAACTAAATCCCAAATGAGTCCAAAGTCAGTTCCAGGCCGCTGTTGGGAGTCTGTAAACTTCATATCCTCGTCGGAATGATGCACTTTGTTGGAGCCATCTTCCGATGCATTTTACACTTCATCGATTGAGGCCCGACAGATTTTTATGTTTACTGTATTATCAACACCAACTGGTGTCTTCCTCGACGTTATTGTAAACCAGACACCGCAGGTCCAACTAGAAAACGAAAAAAGAAAACGCACACATGTGCATCCATAGCTCGCAATTAGATATCAATGTAGAAAACATGCGAAACACCAAGTCTTCTTCCACAGCCCTGTCAAAACCGTTTGTTATTTCGCAGGAACACATTTAAGGGCGTTTCAGGACATGTAGCGACAGGTTAATAAATATATATATTTCCCATTAAAAAAGAAAAATATATCGTATAAAGCACAAAATTGGTTCCGATCCGGCAGTAATACAACATATTCCGATTGGCATACTGCATGGTTTAAAATATCACAAAAATACCTGGCTTCCACAAAGAAAAAATGAAATATAACCGATTGAAACGTGCTATTATAAAATTTAAAACATGCACTTTAGACTCACCTCAACGTGCCGACAGAAACCCAACTTTCATTTTGACGCGGGTCCGTGGAGATTTAACCTCACGTTGACCGAGTTAACTTATCGCACCGGTTACTTTACTCTCAGCTCGCCTCCGAATTCCACCTGAAGAGGCAGGAGGAGACGTTACTGATCGCACATCTCTAATTTAGGGATGCAAAAGTCTCTCAACTGGTCCCCACCCCTCCTCTATTTGAAACTCTCAATCTCTCTCGTTCTTTCGAAGTACTGCCCACCCCCAATATTCTTTCCGTCACCCTTGCTCTTATTGGGCAGTAAGTGTTGAGGTCGATTTCCCTATTGGGCATTCTTAATATAAACGTACGAGGGCTTTAAGAGAAACCGGGATTTGTAAAAAATACTAACCTATGACCTCCGTAGAAATCAACCTTGAAGGAAATATGGACCGACACTATTCAGCTTTGGGCTGGTACAAACATTCGTTTCATCCATGTCTCTTTTCAAATCCACAGACGAGATTTCTGTACTTTGTTGTGCTTCATTGGGAAATGGCGAAAAAAACAATTTGCACTTTTTTTTTGCGAGATCACAACTGCAAAATGGTAAAACACACAAGACGCGATTTAAGATTTAGTATGATCATATATATATATATATATATATATATATATATATATGAATATGAATGAAACCGTAAACCAATGCATCTTTTTTCCAAGAATCACAACATTGGTTGCTATATTTCAGCAAATATATATATAAATATTTATATAATATATATATATATATATATATATATATATAATGCTGAAATATAGCAACCAATGTTGTGATTCTTGGAAAAAAGATGCATTGGTTTACGGTTTCATTACTTATAGCATGGGCAAAAGGCATTTTACATCATTCAGTCAAATATGTATTAAGAAAATCGTTGTGTCTTACTATTTACAGCATACATATGACGTATACTATTGAAACAGAATCTGTAGAAAGACGGCTATTAATTCCTACATTGTGATGTCTCTATAACTTTAAATTAATGGCCGGTTTTACATGTAAAACTTCATTTATAATTCGCTTCATAATTTTCTTAAACATTTAAGTTTAATTTGACTTTATTGTTACAAACATCAGACGTTTTTCTGGTATGATAAATGTATTTATAAAGTAGGCAATAATGTTCACGGTCGCTAAACAGATTTTATGCCCAAACTGAAATATGTTTTTACCGATGGATATGTTACATACTTCGGTAAAAAACAAAGCCTTTTATATATGCTACAAAACGAGATTAATTTCAGTATTTGTACTCGTGGCTTCTATATAGGCCCATTTCACGTAAAAGCACAAGACATGAATACAATACAAATTAACAACAACAATGATAATACGACATATTATTAAACATAATTTCAATTGTAGTCGAAATCGGAAAATTATTTCTTGAGGCAGTATTCCGAAAATGTACATAAGAAAAGATGTCTGTTTATTTCACAGTAGGTTATATATCCTTTCTCAGATATGCACGCAGATTTTAATGCGACATCCACCTGCAGCGAGCGAGGTACAGAAAATCAGCCCGACTGTTGTACTCGCACGAAATTGTTGACGCCGGTTTAACCTTTTCGCAAAACCCGAATTTACTGCTAATTAAACGGCGTCTGTGGAAAAGAACAATTGAAAATACTCTACATCATGAAATCTGTGCAAAGGACTTAGAATATCGCCCTAATAAAATGTTATTTCCATTAGAAACGCAATTCATTATGAGAGCACGTCTTTTGTCATGTATTGTGTTAATTACATAAATATGGGGAACTTCGCTGTTTTTGTTTTGTTTCTTATTTTTACACAAAATGATTCATTGAAATTTGAAAATAGAAAGATGCCTGGACATAAAATATTTAAAACCAAGTTGGAATGTGCAAGGGTGGGTGTGTTACTAATCAGTCACTGTTTACTATAGTCTTTGTAAGATCAGGATAATTTAGAACGAAGCCATATACGCTATGATTAACTTAATTAAAAGATTAATAGCTAATAACGGAATAATCGGAAATGAAACGATTCGAAAGCTACGTTTATAAGCGCTATTGTAAAGTAGCAGCATTGCAACCACACTGGTTACAATGAGCGACACGCTGCATGGAGTGCGGGAGTTAGAGCGCGTGAAGTGTGAACACGTGGCTTGACGCAGGAGTTTGCTGGCTGAGTCGCTACGAAGGGCTCAAAGAAACGTTAACGGATTTCCGCAGATCGATTGCGAACTTGCTCGATACAACCACAATCAACCTTGACCACTGTTATTTGCTTACTCTCACACATCCGTTATTGCTTTTGTTAATCGTTGCTATAGCGACAATAAAAAAGAATTACACGTACGTGATAATTACACAATTCTCTAGATTGCGTTGGAATATGCTTTTGGAGTTCAGAAATATAATTAAACAATTATGTACCGGATGCGGCCTGTGTGAGTTGTATTTGTCTTGTTAAACGTTTTAAAGACATTATTTCCAAGTTAAAAAGGCAACAAATAAGTGACGCAACATAAGCATGTCTGCTGACACCAAATTAAAACACACTAACAATATTAATAACAGCCGGAATTCCTACATTTTATACGTTTTTAAACTGATAGACCTCTGACTTTTGTAACTGGAGATGGACAATACCAGAAATAATTCTATAGATCTGTAAGTGCAGTAGGCATGTAAAAACACCATCTTTATGAAAACAGAAAAGATTTAAATAGTTTTTTTTTTGGGGGGGGGGGGGGGGGGGGGGTTGTGTGGCAACGGGGCTACCTGCAGTCATGAGATGACGCAGTGACAGTGAGGGAGGGGCTGTGGGGTATGCGCGAATATGAGTTCTTTGGCGGGGGGGGGGGGGGGGGGGTGAGGGGGCTGGTACTTCACGGAGTCAGAGGTTTGCAACAGAAAATACCTTTGATGAGCCATAAATGACCTTCGGCTTTGAAGACCTGCACTGGGCTCGGAGGAAGAGAATGGGGAGCTGCCTTGTCTTATTTACGCTGCTTTCTCCAGACTCCACCCCCAGCCTATAACTCAGGTCCTGGGCGAGCACCGGCCCAGTAGGTCACCCCGCTTCCTGACTTCATAAGATATTGTTCCAGGTCTGATGGCACCGAACATAAAGCACCACTCCGGCCACTGATACTGCACACGGCAGGAATGGACAGGAGGAAGAGACACCATGCAGACCGGACAGCTGATGATGGCCTCTTAGGAAGGCAGAAAATACATACATGGGGGGAAAAAAATGTAAAAGATTCATGTTCATAAATTAAATTTCAGTGTGAAAGATTTTATTCAGCTGAAATTAAATGATTAGGAAATGGGGGGGAAATATTTGCACAGGTATGTTAAAAGCTGAGCACAGCGCTGGCAGCCTCTGGATAAATTGTCGTGAACAGTACGGGAAAAAACTAGGTGAGTCGCACTCTCCTTTCATAAAACCACAATTAGGAAGAAAAATGATGCCTCTAGATAATGTGACCACTGACCAGAAGTAATTATCTCACCAACAGTTTTCCAGGAAAAGTGCTTCGCCTCTATTTCACGAAACTGGAGGTGGTTATTCCTTGTGTTCCCTTTACTGAACAGCTGGACAATGTCTGATTAAAATCTCCTGAAATAATGAATACATAAAATTGACTGAAGAGAGGTTTGCAAGGACCTTTAAGGTGACTGTATACTACCCTCAGCCTACAAAAATACACACGATTCACAGTGGAAACAAGGGTGCTTCCGTCATGAAACTCTGTCTAGCTTCAATTGGCTTAGAAAAAAAAAAAGAAAAACACCATTAGTAGTTTGCATAACTATTATAATCCCCTTTTAAAAGTAATAATTAAAAATAATAAATTACTAATAATTTAAAAATAATAAGAACCATTTACAGAGTGGTAGAACCGAAGGGAACTGCTGAAATACATCTAGAAAATGAAGACACAAGCTTTAATGATAGCTAATGCACAATTTTGGAAAATAAAATGAAAAAAAGGTTCAATTTACTGTCATGTAAGTACCCCTCAAATAAAGGACAGACACTGAACACAAGGTTACAACAAATTTCCCAATAGTGTTTAATTTTGTTTGTATATTATTATTATTATTATGTCATCATCAGCAGCAACAGCTACAACAGCAATAATAATAAAATAATTTCCAAAGTATTCTCTGGTAGTGGTAACAAAAAGTAATCATTCCCATATTTTTGAACATTGCTTTTTTCCTTTTTATTGTTGTTTACAGATGGGTTAGAGGAAGAAAACCAGAGCAGACTGGAAGCCCAAATGAGGCCTGTGGATTGAAGGTTGATGTGAAGAAGGAAAAGAATCATTCACTTTACAATCAGAATAATCCCATGTATCACTAGACTGAATTAAAGGATCTGAGAAACAATGCTAAAAATGTACATTTGGTTTGAAAACTAAATGATTTTATGCATAATGAGCAGGAAAGGAGAGGTCAATTAAAGCTTGCATTCTCTTAATTGTGGTCCTTTGAAAGGAATTATGTGAAGATATTGTATAATTATGCTAGATTGTCACGTCGTTAAAGTTCTTTTTCTATATTTAGTAATATTTTGGTATTACTGCCGTTTGAGTGGCGCATTCGCTGGCGTCTCGAAGACGGCAGCTGCTCTGCTGGAGCGAAAAGTTCTCAAAACAGATGTCACACTTTGGCACCGAGGACTGGAAGCCCCAGAGAGAAGCATGTTTCACGCACCTGCAAAGCATTCCTCACCTCAGCACTGAATAAACACATCCAGCTTTTCTGTGCTCTGTACAGTCAGCCCCATCTCGACCCCCTACCCACTAAACCAGGTTGCACTGCTGCTTTATTACCGCGGCCGGGACGCCAATGACACAGTCATAAGTAGTACTATGTAAACATTGCTTAAATTCAAGTAAACCCACATTTTGCAACAATTCATTCCAAAATGCATTTCTTTTCAAAGAAAGTAAACAGGCCAGGCAAGAGTAGCTTCTTGCGCAGATACAATCTTTACAGTGATCAAAATTCATATATGTACAGTGCTAGTTAAACATACTTGTACACAGTGTGAAAACAAGGGAAAGGGCAAGTACAGTCATAAACTAAACATCTGAACTTTGCAGATTAAACATACATTGTTTTGACTGATCAATCAGAGAAATTGTGCAAATTTAAAACAATGGAAAAAAGGACCTATAGAGAATCTGGGCACCCATAACTGCATGGGCATTAACCCCCATTTCACGCCCATACCATGCCCGTAACAAAAACTCATACAGGGGCAGTTCAGCTGACTCAGTCGCTGGCAGACTAGACAGCGTGAGAGTTCTTCTAGGAACCTGAAATGCCAAGTAAGACAATTGCAACTGAAACTTTCCAATCTGCGGTTCTTGCCGAGTTTCCCACCGAGAAAATGCGGGCTGGGTAGAGACACACATGCCTGAGCAGACGTGGATTAACTCCTGGCTTGGGTGGGACTGGGGGCCACAAGCCAGGGGGTCGAATCCCTTTGCCGCCCTGTGTCCAGCGGCCAGACCGCTACAGGGTGATGTCGCTCATGGCATCGGATACTTCACTGTTCACCTGAGCTGCAACGCTGGCTGGCTTCACATTCAGATAAATGTCATACTGCTGATCCAGGCCCAGGTAGCTGTCGCTCATCAGGTAGAGGGTGTAGATGCACCTGGAGAGACAGGGAAGTGGTCGCCATCAAAGCGCCTTCCAGGTGCTTTAAACACTCAATAGCAAATGGATAAGCCTCCATCGCATCACCCCTGCCTGCGATTACAACCCCGACTCCTACCTCCCGGTCTTCTCGGGCGTAAAGAAGGCAATGGAGGCAGAAGACTGGTTGCGTACGTATCCCACGCGTTTAATGGCGAGCAGCTCTCTCCTGTCGATCTCGCCCAGCACCAGGAACCAGCCCTCATCCTTGGGCTTGGGAAACCGTGGGGCCGCGGCTTTGCTGTCCTGCTTCCTCTACGAGGAAGACAACATGAAGACAGAAACTGTGTCCTCCGTGTGCCACATGATGAGATCGGCTTTACATGTTTACACAAGTATAATACATGAGTAACTTCTACAGAGCAACGCGGATGATGTGATTAACACGTCTACAGGGACTGTGTAGAGCTGTGGTAAAATATTACCTTCTGTTGGCCGATATTGATGCGACGCAGGTTGACCTGCAGGACGTACTCCTGGTCGGCATGGACAGGAAGCCAGCTCGTCTCCGACCGGATGTTGGAGGTGGTAGTGGGTAGGGGGCGCTCTGTCCGCTCCCTGCAATCCTCCCACAAGCCTTTCACGCTCATCCTCACCTCCACCACGGGCAGCTGACTCAGGAAAGACCAGGCCTGAGAGGTACACGCAGGTCTGCTTTAGTGTCTCACCGACATGACTGTGGGACCTCCCACATCCCTATATCCATATTTCATCTTAATCCTTTCTGCAAACATTATAGCAATTCTATATATTGATCAGAGCACTAGACCGTCTAATACTCCCGGTGCAATGGTCTATGCAGAAGATAATGGGCGTAAACATGCTTGAAGCAGCTCATGACGATGAAGCGCTAATGGATGCTACATGGAGCGGAATCCTAACGAAAGCACGCTGCATCTTCTGCTTCAGACCCGGCAGCGACGGCTCCGAAACGCATCTCTAAATGAATGAGCCGTTGAAAATAATCGAATAAATAAAACGATGGACCCTGAGAAAAATCAGTATCGCGAGGGTTATTTAGAGTCCGTTACACATATGTAATTAATGACCGCATTGAAATGCAGAAAAATAAGCAGCAAAAAAGCTCAGGCTCCGACAGACCTTGCTTGCGAACATGGCCCTGGGAAAAGTGTGGAAGAGGTAACAGCTAATCGCTAATTACACTATTAAACTATGACCATGAAAACATTTAAGCCACAAATTGCAAACTCACCTAATCACTTTACCCTCAACAATCTGCTGCAGAATTTCCAGTCCAATTTAATACATATTTATCATTTTATTTAGCATTTACTACTCTTTTTATTTTACAGTAGCCAGGGATATCTTGGGAAACGAGCATTTTATATTACTAAAGCCAATATCATCATTATTATTGTTGTTGTTATTACTGCATCCGCTACCCATAATCCCTTGTTTATCCAGTACAGGTTTACGCTGAGCATAGAGCCTGCACACCCTGGATGGGATGCCAGTCCATTGCAGGGCACACACATGCAGTTCACCCGACTGAAGAAACCTTCACGTAAAGGATGAAACCTTCACATAAACAAACCTCGACACACACACAGAGCGGGGTGCATTGTTATGATTATTATTAGCATTACAAGAAGGTAACCTTTAGCGCAGGTCTGCAGATTTGTGTTGTCATTGAAATAAGCGGTGGATTTATTAACATCAGTTAGTGTGGATTAAAAGCAGTGATGAGGAGCTGCACGGCCAAGCGGCGTTCCCGCTCCAGCAAGCTCCTCGTTTAAAAATAAATGAGAAAAACAGGGAGGGGGGAAAAAACAAGATGACGGAAGTGGAGGGAACCGCTAAAGGCTTTGTCCGGGGGAAATAACGCAGAAAAAAAAATGAAGAATCAGCCAGCCACACATATTTATGTGAGGATTAATCCAGGCCGAGTGAATCAAATGAGAACACCCATGCGCATGTCGTTATTTAATTAGCAGCACGCAGACCCCGGCTGGGAGCGCAGGGGGAGCGGGGGAGGGGGGGAGGGGGGGCAGGCGACCGAGGAGGGGCATCCAGAATACTGATGCGCCCGGCAGCCTTGTTCTCGTGACCAATGCAATTAGCACTTAAATTGATGCTGTAAACCCTGTAAGTTGTGAGCGATCGGGGAGGCTGCACCGTATTGGGTGGGGGGCGGGGGGATGAGGGGGGCTGTGTGCGATCACTGGCAGGGTACGCTACCAGACATCACTAACCCGAATGTCACCAAGCATTTCAAATGACAAGGAGACATACCAGAACTTAGAAGGTGTATATTGTGTGAAAAATGCAGCACTGTAACTAGGTCCATTTATTATAATATATTTCTATGTTACAGACAAAGAGTTTGAATGAAAGGTGTAGGAATGGCTGTATTTTTTATTTTTTTAAAGGAAGCCATGAACCCTGTATCTTAGTGATGAACCATGCAGCCGTCCAGTGCCTGAAGCAAAACTGGAGTGTTACAGGCTGACAGAGATGATGTTTTGCTGTAGGGCTCCATAATTTGCAAATATAAAATGATGCGATTTAATTTTCTAATGACCCCTCACGTTTGCATGTTCTGTTCACATCGGGAAAGCAAAATGGAAACTGTTAAACCGTTACACTGGTTTGTGATTTTGTTTTTGTTACAATGTAAACCGGTTTGTGGTTGTGGAACCCCTAGTGAGGGGAGTTGCTGCAACATCTCAGGCCTCCTGAAAAAATGTCACCTTGGGCCCCCTGCTTAGGTTGGCACTTTCAATTGCGCAGTTTAATTTACCAAGCGGGGGTGGGGGGGGGGGGTAGGATTACACCCCCGTCCCTAGTCTAAAGTAAGACCTTAACTGGCAGAGTTCAGTGCCGTGCCAAAGGTAATCGACAGCATGCTGCTACTACAAGAAATGTTCAGTACCTGTAAGGCAACCCCCCCGCCCCCACTTTGCTCGTACCAAAGAGATCGGCAGGGGCTACCAGAGGGCACTTCATGGACTTGAAACCCGTGGAGTGTTGCTACATCATACAAAGCGTTCCAGGTATGAGCGAAGGGCCATTAATGAGTTCCAGACTGGCGATACAGGATGGAGAATATTCCCATGGTGAGTAATGTTTAATAGGATATTCCAAGTGCTCCGCTGGAGGACCCCCCGTTTTTGAACTCTCAGTCCCACTTTCCACTTCCACTTCTGACAAATGGCCGACAATTTCCTGAGAACATCAGTAACTTATCTGCGTCGACACCCGTGGAGGTCAACGCCCCCTCAGAAGTCATGGGGTCACCGTGTGTTTTTTTTTTTTTTTTGCATCTTAATTAGCAGTTCTGGCATCTGCTCTCATTAGTTACTTCTCTCAATATCGGGAAACAGCTTAACAAAAAATATCTTTTTACATGGAGGGAATATCGCCCAGCCTGTCCTACAGAGAGCAGAGGCGGATCGCTTTTTAAAGCAGAATATTACTTGCAATATTATCAATATCAAAGCTGCCCTGATGGATGAAGCATTGGGGAGTCACCTGGGAGATCTGGCTGGCCTGCAGCTCCTCGCCTACGATGGCGGCGAAGGTGCTCTCCCGGCCCACACACGCCGCCATGAGCTCGGGCAGCCCCTCGATGGGGCCGGGGAAGCCGGGGGCCTTTCCCTTCACGTGGTCGGAGCCCCACCTCCTGCAAGGAAGCAGAGGGCAGACAGAGCACCGGAGCTTACGAGTCGACACGGCCCTTGTAACATCTTCACTGGGCTTTGTGCATTTTCAGACACTGCAGCCTGGTGTCCACGAAGCTGGCAGAAGGTGTGTGAAAGGAGCAGATATTCCTCTCTCTGACCAAGGGGCCTGGGCACACGATAGCTGCCGCAAAAAGCCATGTCTGTTAAGCGATGTTAATGGTGTTTGCAGAGTTTCAGGAGAGCAATTTGGAGGATTAGCACTGCGGCCATGTCACAGCCACCAGGCGTGGTGGGGGGGGGGAGGGTGATGCTAGAAACACTAACTCAACACGGCAGAAAGGGAGGGGTTTCTTAGGGGAAACAGCCCTGGAGTGCTGATGTAGCAATAGCATGATATCACCAGTAGGTGGTGCAGTGGTTAACCACTTGGGCTTCACAGGCAAATGACCACTTGGACTGCTGAGCTAGAAAATTTGCTTTGCTTAAAAAGCCAAAAAAAAATTAATAAAAACAATTCATCAACAGATAGAAATGTAAAACCATAAAAGCTATACAATGACTGACAATCTCAAAGTACAACTTTAGCACACAAGCATTTAAACATGATCTTACCCATTGCCATTTAGGACAGAGGGCAGGAAATTGCCCTCCAAACATCCTAAGTAACTTTCAGAAGACGTAGAAATATGCTGCCCGCATATATCATGACATTGTCCAAAAAAAGTATAACGTAAATGAAGACTTTAGGTTAAGAGCGAACAAACAGCCGTTTGGTTAGAGCTCCAGTTTCTTAATGACCACGCCACCCACAGTGCGAGAGATACATACCTGAAGAGGTATAAGTGCTGCTGCTCGATGTGGGGCAGCGTGAGCAGGGACGAGTCATGCAGCCACCTGCTCTGAAGAAGCATCTGCACCAGGTTACAGATGCTAAGCGCTGCGACCAGCCAGCCCTCGTTGGCAGCCACATCCAGCATGGCCTACGGAGGCAGACAGGGTGAGAATGAGGCTGCTGTACCCCCCAGGCACACGCCTGCTCGCACGCTAAACGCGTGTCCAATCGCGGCCATTCTGAACGGGATACATTAACCAGGAATAAGGGCTAGACGAGAACGCAGATAAGAGAGAGACAAACGGCCAGGCCCAGGATCACATACAGAAGGCTCTGTGACACAAGGGTCTGTGCAGATGGACCTAGCGGCAAAGGTATATTACCGGGGAGCAAAGCGGAAATCAAGAGGTCAAAGGAAAATGTAATTCCAGGGACAGAAAAAAACTTAACTGTTTAAGCACCTAAAACCAGCAACAATTGTCAAACTTTATTTTTAAGCTAAAGGCAGTGTCTAGGCTTACTTTCAGCAAAGTGACCTTGGAATTCTATAAAAAAACACAAAAATCTCTTCAGACGGCCTAAAAGATTAGAGAACCTGAAATACTCGAAGCCACCGGCTTGTACACCTGTGCTGTGCTCTGAACCCAGAGGTTAGGAGCAGCGTGGTGATATATACGCAGGGCATAGACATGTATACTGTACTGGGAAACGATATCTGATCTCATGTTTGCATTCTTCCAAAAGTGAACACCACCAGGTTTTCAAACGTGAAAGAACATTAGATACGAAGACCTCGAGTGAACAAATAAAACATTTTGAAACTTATGTACTTTGGTATTAAAAACTGTATCAGACCTGGAGGCTGGTATTCTTCAGCCACATAGACTTGCTAGCATATTTTGCATGAGCGACTTGCTGAATTACTGAGTCTCTCTCCTGTTTCTTTCACAGGTAACTAAAACATCCGGTTTGTGAGAAATGTGCGAGATATTGTGAGATGTAATAGTGCCCATTTTAGCCAGTGTTCCACTTTACGTCTATCTGCCTACAAAAACATAGCTGAGTATCATAAAAATCTTTTTTGATCAAACTTCACAGTATTTGTGCTCTTGATTATCCACCTTGACGTACTGCTTTGTATTCAATTTTTAAACAATGTATTTTTGTCCTATTTGCATGAAGTGCATACCAGTATCAAGACCTTAAACTCCATAAAAATAAGTATAAAGTGCATATCAGTAGCCACTGAAATGAACCCAGGACCAGTGAATAGTGACTAAATGTAAAATGAGAATTTACTCCCATTTGATCAATACAGATCCCTTCAGCTACTGGTTTCTCTCAGGTTCCTTGAAATGGAGACAGGAAGACCCATAATAACAATGAGCCAGAGAGAGAAGGGTGGAGGGCTGATTTTGTCCACTCTTTCGGTTCTCTCGCCTGATCCTTCCAGAACCTTGCTCCTTGGAAGGTTGGTACTCACGGAGCTCAGCTGCACCCTGGCAAACGTAATTAATCGGAGGAGTCATTTCCGCGCTGTAACTATGACTAAAAAGCGGCTGAAGTGTGCCAGCCGGCCCACGAGTTAATCAAAATGCTAATGCAGGACAAATTAAAGTCGTAATTAACATTTCACAGTAGCCGCTTGAGCAAATTGATCACACAAATGGGTTCGGCATTACTCATTACACACAGGGGAGACGAGATGGGCAGGGTCCCTATGGCAGGGCCACAGAACAGCCTGCCAGATCAGCACCAATGCCATGCTCCGCACATTGGGGGGGGGGGGGTTTCAGGGAGGCAGAGCTGGGAAATTAAGCAAAAATATTGTTGTTGGGTATGAAGATTGTAGAACCTGTGCTGGTTACAGCAGAGTGTGGATTGCTGTTCCTGACAGGCCATTATAGGAGTGCGTATGTGTGTGTGTTTCAGTGCATTTCTGTACCTGGGTAAATCCTTATCGACAAGAAAATTGACTAGATGTGCAACAAACATCCATATGACTATATGCGCTTTGAAGCAGTCTAGGGCACCAGGAACGTCCACAGTGTCGAGCTGCATACTCAGTTACTAGCATAGTCTATAAATATCAGACACACGAGAAAACCATAAAAAGCGAAGAACACAGAACATGCACCCTAAGATACGGGAGAACTTATGAGACACATATACATTGAAAAGTGCTATTGCAGAACCACAAGCAAATACTTAGACGGTGGTGAGCAAGCAGTTGCCCTTCACGCTAAGGGGTTTGTGATCAGACGGCGCTCGGCTGTTAACAGGAGCTGGTGGACATCGATCTTCTATGAGCAGTCCTACCTCCCATTGATGACCATGCTGTCAGTCATCTAGGTAGCCCCACGCCTATCCCATTACCTGCTCAAGAGGGACCAACCCATGCCCCCCCCCCCCCCGTTTTACAGTCCCA